GAGTTGATTTTCCTGTTGTGAGTTCATCCCCATTAGGTTAGTAAATACATGTATATTTATACATATTATTATACATATTTAAACAAATTATATATTTATTTTACTTCTTTACATTTTTTTTTAGTTACTAAATGTTTGAACACATTAAAAAATGTCCTTAAAAAATCAACTGTCATGGAGCTAATGACAAAATGGTATACAGTTAGAAATGCACCAGGTACTCAAAATATATCGGGTGAAGAGGAATGGAAATTATTTATGCAGATGTTACTGAGGCTCATTGGGTATAACTTAGAATCATTGCCATTAACACAAGATTCTTTGAATACATATAATGATACACCGGCAAAATCAAAAAAACAGAGGGTTTTGGATATAGGCAGTGATGAAGACTGGACATTTATGTTAAAATCATCATTTAACAGTTTCCGGGGCAATAATATAGCAGCATCTCTTGGGTTGAAAAATGAACTAAAGAATTATAATCCAAATTTTTATCAACATTCAAACTTAAAAAATAACATTGATACAAATTCAATACTCTATCCATGCATCTATGATGTTTTATTTTCTTTACATTTAGTATATGAAGTATGTATAATTCAATGAAGTAAATGAATTTATATTTAATGCCTGTTTTTTCAAGGATTTAAAACTTAATACAATGAAAACTAATTTGCTACCAATGATTGTACAATTGTTGTATCAATTAGCAACCGATTTAAAATTAGATGAATATGTTTATCATTATTGGAAAGATTATCCAAATTTTTATAACAGGAATTATTTATCTTTAGGAGTAAGTTAATAGTAATTATTTATAATACTAAAAATATGCATACATTTTGTTTTGGAAATTTTATATATTTAAATTTTAGTCGAGTCAAATAAGTGAAGAAAATCGAAAAACCCTTATAGTCCCACCATATTTTGAACCAAGTCCACCTAACATATTCAGATTGTGTTACTTGCTAATGAAATATTATGAAGCTAATCCTTATCCTTGCATAGAAAATGTTAATAGAAGGACCAAGAATATAATTCAGGTAAAGCCTAAATTATTTATTTTGATAAGATACACTTTTTATTGAAGCATATTGATGTGCTTTACATAACAGGACATTTGACATGGATGTCCTTACCAACTTAAAATGTAACAAATTTTTATTCAGCAGAACCAATTTTGTGTTGTCATTTTTAATATTAGAATTAATTGATGTATCATCAAGCTTAACACTAAGAACATCTTAGTTTGTATGTTAGTGTTTTATAATAATTTAATTTGAAGCAAATATTAGCATTTTTAAATTGCAATTTTGTTCATATTTCATTCAAATATAATAAAATTCCAATTTTCAAACACATATAACATTATTTCCTTAAGTTTGACTATACGTTAATTCATTCTGATATTAAAGTCTACAATGCAAAATTGGTTAGGTATGCTGTATGCGAATTTGGTATGTTGTACAATGTATGTTTTTAAGACAAGAATACATTCAGACAGAGCTGAATCTTAAATTATAATATCTTCCTATTCTCATTTGGTTTGCAGATTGATGTAGTTCTTAAATTGTTTAACTTTAACATTCATGTTTACCTTGAATTTTGGTTTAAAAAATGCAATTCATATAATTTGAAGTAATAACACTTGATGATTGATCAAAGAATATTAGTTAGAATTAATTGTATTCAAGTATTAAATATTTATGTTAGTATATTTTAATTTTTACAGATTTATGGTTTATTATGTTTAAAAAAGAAGTCTCAAATGAACGCATTAGTTAAAATAATAAATCCTGCTGGAGTAAAATTAAATAAAAATGAGAGCATTTCTTTAGATAGTGTAAATTTGAAATGTAAAGAATCAAAATATCAGCATGCTACTTTGTTTATGTCTAAAATAGGTAAAATCACAAAAAAATTATTTATTGAAGTTGATTTTGTAATTATACTGTAATTAATTAAAGTTTTATTCAATATATTTGTAGGAATTACACAGCAGACTTTATTAACTTACCCACCTGGAGTTGCAATATTGCTGTGTGATGTCATTGATAAATGCAGGGAAAGTCCACCTACAAATTGGCCAAAATCTACATATGAATTAATTATGAGAGAAGATTTAGCATCACAGACATTAAATACATTTTATAAAAATAACAATAAAAAAATTAATTCATCAAATATGGATAAATCTAACAATTGGAATGATGTAGGTGAAACAGATACTGGTATTATAAAGGATGGCATGGGAAATCTGGATGATGAGGTACGACTTGTTATTGGAGCTTCATTTAATCTTATTTCAACAAAATATTAAGTCACTTTTTGATGAAAAAATAACTACAGAGTATAACATGGTTGTTTGTTTGTTATAGGTTATGAAATTATTATGGAACAAAGATCATCGTATAACGGATGTGAGAAATTTTTTACAATCTTGTCACCCAGTGACCATAGGTATTAAGCAACCACCAGAAGCTAGTGATCATGACTTTGTTGAGGAACAAGAAAAATATTTGTACTCAATTTGCTCAAGAACAATGGCTCTACCAGTTGGCAGGTAAAAATTACTATTATTGGTCACTCTAAGTCATGAATCATTTGAATAAAAAAATTTACTTGATACTATTTAACTATAAAAATTATGTACTTGATGGTTATAAAATCTTATGAATACAAATAAAAATAGGAAATTTCTTAAGACAAAAATTTAGTTAATAGTAATGTTCTTTTATTATTATTATACAACTAGAGGGATGTTCACTATGAGATCAATTCAACCTGTTATAACTGAACCACTTCCATTACCGAAACTTTGTTTATCTGGTAAAACTCCACGTGGTGCTGCAGTTGAACTTACTCACATAGATATTGTTCCTAATATGAATCTTTGGCCATTATTTCATAATGGAGTAGCTGCTGGATTACGAATAATGCCTTCAGCTGATAATATTGATTCTACGTGGATTCTATACAATAAACCAAGAGTAATAAACCATCATACTATTTAGTACTATTTTTGTCTTGTGTATTTAATTTATATTTATATTTTGTATGCATTTATTCAGAGTACTCCAGAAGCACTACCAGAACATGCTGGATTTCTTATGGCATTGGGCTTAAATAAACATATTACTAACTTAGCTACAATGAATACTTATGAATATCTATGTAGATCTCACGAAATGATCAGTATTGCTATACTTATTGGATTAGCAGCTGCTAAAAGAGGTATTTTCTTTATTATCATATGTATACTATTTATTAATTATTTAATTGTTAATTAGGTACAATGGATACAGAAATAACACGAATGTTGTGTATCTTCATTGAATCTTTATTACCTCCAACTACCATTGAATTAGATATGAGTCAAAACTTGCAAATAGCAGCATTATTAAGTATTGGTCTTCTTTATCAAAAAACTGCCCACAGGCACATAGCAGAAGCACTGTTATCCGAGATAGGCCGGCCACCGGGTCCAGAAATGGATAATAGTATTGATAGGGAATCGTATTCATTAGCAGCAAGTTTAGGTCTTGGTTTAGTTGTATTAGGTAAAGGTTCAGATGTTGTTGGCCTTAGTGATTTATCAATTGCTGATACATTGCATTACTATATGGTTGGAGGACATAAAAAACCTCTTACAGGTAAATAAAAAATTTAAATATTTTAAATAAATTGTTTACATATGATTTCAAGACTTCAAATATTCATATATACTATAGTATATTATGTACTTAACATTTAGTAATCAGATTATATATTTCCATTAGTCATTAGTTGTTTCTTTATTAATAATAATAAATAATTACAATTGATGTCAGATAAATTGGAGCATCACAAATAAGCAAAACAAGGTTCTCTGTATTTAGATATGATGTACACTAACAATGTCACAGTATAATGGAAAAAATAAATGTAGCTGAATCTCATATTGTAACTAATTTGGGCTACATTTACTGATAAACGCTGCTGCTGCTGTCAATCTATCTGACATGACTGTATTAACACCATCTAAAATAATATTTTGTATTTCATTTATAAATAGAATTTTTAATTTTTATTAAGGAGCGCAAAAAGATAAATACATTAATCCAAGCTATCAAATCCGTGAAGGGGAAATGGTAAATGTAGATGTAACTTCAAGAGGTGCTACTTTAGCCTTAGGAATGATGTATTTTAAAACAGGAAACCAGTAAGCTACTTAAGTTTATGTAAATATACATTTTTATATTGTACAATTTTGTTTTTACAGAGCTGTAGCAAATTGGATGAGCATACCTGATTCCCCATATCTACTAGATTTCATTAACCCTGAATTTATATTACTTAAAATGTTAGCTAGAGGCTTAATAATGTGGGATTACATATTACCCACAAAAGATTGGATAGAACAGTTTGTACCTCAATCTATTCAACGCTATTGCTTAGTAAAACCTAAACCAGGAATGGCCAATCCTGATTTGGAAACCATTAAGTACGTCATTTTATCCCATAAATTAATATATTATATAAAATTGTACATTTATTTTTAGTCAAACATACTGCAATATTGTAGCTGGTTGTAGTATGGTAATGGGCTTACGTTTTGCTGGATCTGCTAACGAAGAAGCTTTCAATACTCTTTTATCTTACTGCCAAATGTTTATATCATTATGTAATAAATCAGTTGCTGAACTTTGTGGAAAATCAACAATTGAAACTTGTATAAATGTTACTCTTATTTCATTATCCATGGTAAGTTATTCCTACTTATCTTTAAAAATCCAACAAAAATTGCATGTTAGTTTTGCCATTGTTTTTGGATAAATCTCTTGGTCGGATGCATTAAAAGATATGTGATTATATTTTATTCAAAAATTATTTCCATGACATTTTATAAATATATAATAATTCTAGATGGAGTTATTTTTAATATTTTGGGCAGACCGTTATTAATTTTATCAAGATGCATGTATTAATGTTATTAGAAATTAAAGTTGCATGTTAAATAGTAAAATATATTAAACTAAAAAATTATTAAAATTCAAAATTTAAACATAAGTTTTGAATAATATTTGTAACTTGCATCATAATATACAATGGATGTAGCTACATACACACCGAACTGTGGCCTACATCTGTCTCATTTCAGTGAACAGTTTCATCATTCCAACAATGACAAATTTTTATATTACTTTTTAATGCAATTTCCTTGATTGACATTTGCATAAGTTGTGCACTTGTGTCTTCCCTGAAGCTATAAAAATATAATCAGTGGTTTATTTTGGACAGAGTAAATTATTAACACATAGTTTATACGTCCACTGAGTATTTGTTTAGTATGTGACCTACCGGACCAATAATTAATTCAATGACAGTCAAATTAAAAATCATAAAATTAGGTTATTTTATTATTACAGATGTACCAAAGTACATTCAAATTCATTCAACAAAATATCGGTAAAAAAAAAATTATTAACAAAATGGCATAAGATTGTTTTATCATAAATTATGTTTGGCAATTAATACTTTTAAAATGTCACTTAAAAATTTTTTTTAAATTGTATCTTGCTTGTTAATAGATCGATACCATGCCTCAATTAATTGACGTGGCAAAATTTCAGATGATGTATTCGTAGGATTTTAGTTTTTAATACTCCCCATGAACATTCAATTGCTTGTGTGTGAGCTCCAGTAGTTGGATCAACAAAATTGTTTAAATGATGTTCTGTTCTATGATCATAGCCTCTATATTTTAAACAAGAATGTGCCCTCCATTCTTCTGACATTATAATAGAACCAGATAATATTTCTTTTTTCAATAATCGGAATTAAAGTTTTTCTACAACAAAAAACCATCGTTCCAAATTATATTAAATTTTACTACATAATCCGAATACCTAAGGTCCTTCCAGTCTGCGACCATAATTTCTGTCTAATATAGGCAAAATCAACTAGATTTTCTTGATCACTGTCAGAATTGGAGTCAGTGGTGTTATCTTGTACTTGTTCATGACGCCCATCACCTAGCAGCAGTCTTCCTCGGTTATACTTTCTTCTTCCTCTCAATAATGATTCATCCATTTGTACTACTATATTTTGTCCTCCCATCTTTTGACGCTTTTCAAATAATGAACAACACATGTCTGTACACAAATCAAACCAATTAACAGTGGTTGCATTTGAACGACCTGTTAAATCAGAAACAGTTTTAATGGGTAAAACTTGTGACCAATAATAAATGAATTCTAGTATTTAACCAGAATTGCATCGTGCATTAAGATTGTATATGTAAAACCTTTTTTTTCTTATGTACATCCTTGGTTCACCGTGACATTTATGACATAAATTAGTTTCATTATTTTGTGGTAATAGTTTGTTTTTTTGTAAGAATTCTAACACTGTTTTTTCAGAAGAAATAATCGTACACAATGTGACTACTAACATTTTACGGTTTTAAACTCACGTGATTTAGGATTAACAACAGAACACATACTGACATTATTGCCGATAATGAGCAATGTATAATGTTAGAATGACAAAATATCTATTGTTGAAAACCAGTGAATATAATATTGATATAATAGACTATAAAGATAAGCAAACATAGATTGTCCATACCCATAATATAGATAATCGTTGTGGTAGGTCACATACTAAACCCGGTAATACAAGTAGGTCACATATTAAACGAATACCGTCCACTGTATATGATCTAAGATTTGAAAAACTTTTAATTGACCCATACAATTTTTAGTATAACTTATCATTGATCATATTCTATTAGTTATTAAACAATAACTCTCTTGTTCCACTCAGATTATAAAAATGTATATTAAAACAATCTTTATTTATTTGTTTTATCGAAGGTAATGGCAGGTACTGGAGATTTAGAGGTTTTGCGAATATGTAGATATTTGAGATCAAGAGTTAGTGTATCTCCCCATAGTGTTATTACCTATGGATCTCACTTGGCTACACATATGGCGCTAGGATTATTATTTTTAGGCGGTGGAAGATATACTCTTTCTACAACTCCAGAAGCTGTAGCTGCACTTATTATAGCATTTTATCCACAATTTCCTACTCATAGTAATGACAACAGGTAAGAATTAAAATTCAAAATTACATTTCTCATTTGATCAAATTTGTTTTTATGTATTATTTTAGATATCATTTACAAGCTTTTAGACATCTTTACATTTTAGCTACCGAACCTAGAATAGTATTACCAAGAGATATTGATTCTGGAGATTTATGTTATGTTCATTTAAAAGTTATTTTTCTTGATACTAAATATTACAAAAACCAATTTTATACAGTCAGAGCTCCGTGTTTATTGCCACAGTTATCATTATTGAAAGAAGTACATGTTGATGATGGAAGATATTGGTCAATAGTGTTTGAACGTGATAGAAATTGGGATAAGCTCGTGTAAGAAAATTTCAAAATATACCAGTATATCGATTGATTTCAGTAAAACCTAGGATATACTAAATAGTTTAGTCGAACCCCGAATGGTTTTTGACTTAGTAGTTTCGACTTTTACAAACAAAATTTGGTAAATCTTTACATCATCAACAAGTGTTGGTGAAAGTCCAAAATTGTTTACCAAATATTGTGTGTTATTTTTCCCTTTGCATTCTTTATACTCATATGTAATTATAACAGTATACGTTAACTTAAAAATTATTATTATTATTTAAGTACATAAAGTACTACATTAACTACTACCTACCTAGTATATTAGAATATTAGATGATAGATACACACATGACACATTTATTTTTATTATTATAAATTGTAACATTATTACCAACATTATTTATTAGTGAAGTTTTGGCTACTGTAGCATCTCAAGTTGTACAATACATTTTTGGATTGGCACTAACATCGATTTGTAATACATTTTTTCAAACAGTCACACCTTATTAATCATTTTCCACTTTTCTAAGACAATTGCGATACTGCTTGACTAATACTGATTTCATACCATTAATATTTATGAAGAATAATGTATTCTAATGTAATTATATACAAGTATGAAGCATGCAAAGGGTAAAATAAGACACAATAATTGGTAAAAATGTAACTGAACTTTCGCCAACACTAGTTGTTTATCATAACATTTACCAAATCTCTTTTATTTGATTCCGAACTTCAAAAATCATTCAGGATTTGACCAAACTGTTTTGTGTATCAGAGGTTTTACCAACAGCAATCGACAAAATGATAGTAGTAGACAAATAGTAGAATTTACTAGCAAATCCTAGGTTCTACCAGTATTCATACTTAATAAAAATACCTTAAGATATATTAAAGGGTGTAACAGAAAGAGAAGCAATTAAATAAATGTTTATGGTTTTTGCAATCAACATTTTTCTAAAAACCAGATTTACAAATTGGTTATTTTTAATATTTTAAAGAAAAATTATGTTGGATTTAACTTTTTTTATTTTCAGTTTCAAAAAATACAAATAAAAAATGTCATACTATACGTATGTATGTGTCAGTACATTAAATTAAAAAAATTTAATAATATTTATTAAAACCAATGTTATTTAATTAGATAGATCTTTCTGTTAAACTGTGTTTATTGATATGTTTATAAAATATAAATAATGATTCAAATTAATTTATCCCAGAAACATGTTAAACAATGTCAGTTGCTTAAATGTCAAGCATAAAGCTGGACACTTATCATATGCAGAGGATCCAAATGGTTATAAATCCCTCATAGCTCAAAATCTAAGTTTAAGTGATAAAAATTCCTGGACAATTTCTGTAAGTTCTTCTACAATTACAACTTTATAATTTTTTGAATTCTAAAGTTTGTAATTGAGGTCTCAAATGTATAATGAAATTAAAAATATTTTTCAGCCCGAAATTATTTATGGATTTTCTTCTGATCCAAAAATTGTTCAAATGGTTCGTTACTTTTTAGATTTGACGGGGGATAAAGTTAACAATCCTCATCAAATAACTGTTACTCGGCAATATGCTCAAATATTATTTAATTCCATAGTACATGATAAAGTATTTTTATTACCTCTTTGGATGCCAATAATGAAGGTGTGTAGTTTAACTGTTGTTTTTATTAATTAAAATATTATTGTAATAATTATTTTATTATAGACTTTATGTAATTTACCTCAACCGCCTAGTAGCTATTGTTGTTGGCAATTAAAATTATTTATTGAAGCAGCTAGTACACGTGTTTTTCCTCGAGAAAAATTAAGTGATAGACCAAAATTAATTCCAATATTATTTGCCTCGTCAATTGAAATGACCTGTGATGCTATGATTCAAAATTGGGAAAGAGGTACAAAAAAAAATTAAATCTTAGATTAAGAATTAAAGAAGATTAACTATGCTTTATTGTTTTGGTTGCAGTGGAAGAAATTTCAGTTAAATTATGTTGGGACTCCTCAGATTATCAAGACTCTAAAACTGAATTGATTAAAAGTGCATATTGTACATTATTGGATATTCCCCATAAATCCAAAATACCCGAATTTGGTAAGATTTCAATATTAGTTTGTCAAAATATTTCAGCCATTAGAATTAAATTAACTTAAATTGTATGGTTTTGGTAAACAGAGAATATTGTTTTACTCTAAATTTGAATAACTATATATGTATCTAGTATACTCTAAATACTTAAAAATGAGATCAGTATTAGACAAGCAATATATTATAGTTAATTAACTACTTGTTTGAAATTTTATTCTGCCCTTCAATAAAATTACAAACTTAAAAATGATAATGATAAAAAAAAGTAAAAATACAATTTTTAAAGAATGTTGTGTTTGAGAGAATGGCTGTTTTACATTGAAAGATCTGCCCAGTTTATATTGTTTTTTTATATATTAACTAATTAACATTAATTAATCTATTGTTTCAGCTTTGGCAGATCCACATTTATTGTATGAATATGCTAAAAGGCTTTTCATATCATGGGAAACAATTAGTAAAATATGTTCATCATTTTAAAACTATTTTTTTATCCATAGGTATTAGTTGTACAAAATACTGTATTTAAATACCTAATTAATTTGTGTTTTTTTTTAAGTATTATATTTGAAATATATATAAAATGTATGTACAATATTACATTGATTTATTTTAAATATATTTGAAATGTGAATCGTGAAAATGTAATTATAATTTTGATTCAACTTTAATCATCTGGTTTTGTTTTTATTGAAGTAATTCTTGCAAATAATCTTGTTATACTTTTAGATATACTATATAGTAAAGGATTAGAAAAAATATAGTATGAAACAGGTAAAAAAGAATTACAAGCTATTACATATAAATTGTAATCTATTATGTTCTATATTAGGAAAGTATCAGCTAGTGCCTAGTTGAATTGTGGATCCAGTGGCGCCGAAGTGCAAAATTAAATGTATGGCAAGAATCTCCAACAACCACCCCACCCCACAACATCAACACTACAACCCACTAATCAAAATTGAATCCTGTTACAAACAAATATTATGAACTATTTCATGTTTACTGTTCAACGAAAAAATTGGTATTTAATACCAAATACCCTAAATTAATTTTTATCATCTTATTCTTCTATGGACCCACCCCCCAGATATTTGTTTATATATATGGCACCTGCCATACATAAACATGGACTTCGGCGCCACTGTGTGGATCTGTTTATTATAAATTATAGTTTATAATCAAGTATCAACTATAGGTTTATGTATTTTAATGCAATGTGTCTGTGGTATCAAATCAACTAAATTCACTCCACTGTCTATGAGTAAATTCAAGTCAAAAAAAGTGTAAATCAAAAAACGTTAAATTTAATTTTCTGTATATTATTATTAAATATTAGCTATGTAAATTCAATTCTCTTTTTATAAGTTGCTCTCATTGGTCACACTGGTATATAATCTGGTATTTTGGCATCCTGTCAAGCACGTCCAGTCAACCGAGTACAATATCCTTTAGTACCATATATATTATAGGTATATTATGTATTATTATTTAGCATAGTCTAGTCTGATAACGCGGGTAATGTGTAATTGAATTTCTTGTAAATTCACAAAAATAATATATTTATTGTTAAATTTTTAAATTTTTTCGTATTTTATTTTTTTAATTATTCGTTTTTGTTTTGATTCGATCCATTTCATAGTATTGAATATTTTTTATTGTTTTATGCCTAACCATTGTTACAATTACCAGTAATTTACTAGTCACTAACTTTGGTGATATACACAAATTCTGCGTTTTTAATTTAAATTACATCTATTTTCTTAGTCAATATGGAGTGTGGTTTAGCTTCAACATATACCAGTAGTACTGCAAAACCTTCTAGTGCTGTATCGGGTAATAGAAGTCCAGCAAAGACTGGCTTACATGTCAATTTTACTGAAAAAGTAGAAGTAAAAGAGAAAAGAGAAAAATTTCTAACAGCCAAGTATGGTGCCCACCAAATGAGCCTAATAAGAAAACGTTTAGCTGTCGAAATGTGGTTGTTAGAAGAATTGCAAAAACTCTATAATTTACCTAAAGTAAGTATGTAATAATATTTTTTTCTTGTTTTTTCACTGATATTATAATATTAGTTTAGAGTTTTTGATAACAAATTAGAAATTAATATTTAAGTACCTAGTCATTATTTTTAATTTTAATAATTTATTAGGTAAGTAGGTAGGTAGCTCACAAATTAAATTCTGATTTTATAATTTATATTAGGCAGCCTTGTAGGCAACCAACCTATAATCTTCACAAATGTTAACTGCTTAAAAATAATATTTTATCTAAATTAACTTTATTATTGGATAGTCCTACTAACTATTTTAAAGGTTAGGTAAAAATAAATACATTTTGCCTACCATTGTGTATTATATAGGTACTTAACCTATTACCTATCTGCTATTTTAATAGATATGATATTTAACTGCATGGGTATTAAAATTTTAAAATTGTATTTAAAACAACTGAAAACTTAAAAGTTTCTTATTGGAAAATAGATAGTTATTTTTTTTTAGAATAATTCATTTATAGAATAAACCATTGTAGTGTTTCACTGTTCACTATTTCGAATTCATTAAATATTTGTCATATTTTAAATTAGGTGTGTACCTAATATTAGTTGAACCTAGGTACAGTTGCACCAAACACGTATACTTGAATACTTCAGATAGTTCAATTGAAAATTGGGTATGTGGGATGTCGGTGGGTAAAATAAGAGAGTATTGGAAGTATAGGAACTTCCTAGCCTTTCTGCTAAAATTTTATTTAACACAAGAATATAATTTATTAAGCCCGTTTCTCAGTCATTTGAAAAGGTGGTTGGATCAATTGAACTATTTGAACTCGGCGCCACTGCCTAAGTATCAGGTATCCCGTATCCATTAGTAACAACCAATAATCAAATATTGCTATGCATAATTATGTATTTTATGAATTAATTATTTTGGAGATTTCAGTTGGTTTAAATATAACAATACAATTATTGTTATTAGTCTTAAAAATTAAAATTTAACTTTCAATAAAATAAAAAATTTATACTGTTTTCATAATTGTGGATTGTTCAGAAGCAATTACTTTTCGTAATCTTTTGTTCGTCTGAATCATAGAAGCATAACAATAATAGCTTTCTCTACTATATGTTTATACTTAACTCGTGCTAATCCGTGTTTATATTTAAACTAAATTTCTATGTAAAATAATAATTAGTGAATCAAGGTATGACCTTTAAAATACTTTTTGAATTACTATTAAAACAAAAATCGGCAAAAGTACTAGGTACTTATTTTACGAACTTAAATGTATGAAGTATGAACTATGATTAATGTCCAGTGATTACTTTTAATGTATGACTCATTATGGTTGACTGACCTCTGAAAATTCCAAAATGTTATTTACTAGCCAGAACTCAGACTAAAACCAGTTATCCATATAGTTCGTATATCGTAATAAGTAATAACCCATATTGTAAACAAAATAAATTGTATATTATTTTTCCATCAACAAACTATTTTTACCCAAGTTTGAGTCGATAGGTATATACGTTTTTAATATAAATATAGATAAGCTTGTTTACGAAAAATATTTCATTCCAATCAATGAAAATAGTTTTGTTCGGTAATTAAATATTTATTTTTATTTTATATGTATAAGATTTTGTTAACCTAAACAATAAGTAACATTAAATAGTTATTTACATTTTAAATTAAAAACATCGTGTACGTAGCCATCTCAACATTCTTAACACAATGAACATTTCCATAATATATTCTGTATGTTCACTTTTTTTTATTAATTACAGAATTAATTAGGCACTTATTATAAAATCTATTAAAATTAATTTGAAATAAGATTAGTCATATTAAATTATTGTAATTTATAAAACCTTAAAATACATTATATTTTATTTTTCAACAAATTTATAGCTTATAACTTATAATGTATTACTTTTTTAATCTAGATCCTATATTAAGAAATAAGAGGACAAGGTTACGACTTATGAGTGTATGACTCCAGAGATACTCTTTGTTACGTAACATGTCAATTTTTCTTTACTAAATTTGTTCAAGCTACTTTTAATGTTCCATATGTATACTAGTAATACGAATAAAGTAGTTTCGAGCTTAATGGTGTTTAGTAAATAAGATCTTATCAAGTATCAATATTTTTATTTTTATATCATATTTTTAAATGGATAAGGTAGGTATCAAACTTCAACAGGAACATTGAATGCTTATTGCTTACGCTATACACGCCTATACCACAGTCTAGTCTGTTCCTATACGTCATTGTCATAACTTTTGAGTTATAACCATTCATGAATTCAATGAGTCATTTTCCTTTTCATTGGATTGCATTACGTAACTTTGGTTTACTATATTATTCTACTCTGTTATTGTATATAATTTTTTACTTTTCTTTGTATTCGTTCAATAACATACTATAAAGTATTGTCATATTAGAAGGTATCTGGCGAAATTGATTATGGCATGACTTATCGATTTGGCGTTTATAATTTTTTCAATGTCATAAATGTAATGACTTAAAAATAAAAATGGACCTATACCTAAGTAGGTACTTTTTTAGGGTAAACACACTTTCTCCTATTTAGGCAACTTTTTGAGTCAGTCAGTATATAAAAAAAACTGTTTAAAATTATAATTGATTTTAAAAAAATTGTTTGGTCTAAATACTTAAAATATAACACAAGGCTTAAGTTTTTGTGAGCATCTGAAGTTAAGATTTTGACAACAAATTAGTCAAAATCACTAAAATTTACAAATTATTTTGAGTTAGAAATTCATAAAAATTGTTTATTTTATCCAAGATCTTAACATTTATTATACCTCAAAAGCAAGTCTACATTTAATCAATAAAAATTGTCTACTAAAAAGTAAAATTAAATTTTATAACATTCACTCGATTTCTCGGAACAATTTTTCTTATTTTGTTGTTATAAAAAACAAATAACCATAGATACTTGAAGTTTACACCAAATATTTATTTTATCACATACTTGATAAAATTTTCAATTATATTAGTTTTTTTCCTATTAATGCCAATCAAATTTTATTCATTGGGTCAAAAAGCTTGAAAATTTAATACAATGGTTCTCACACATTGTTACAATATTAGTTTAAAACTATTAAAAAAGTACATTGGCAAGATGTTTTTATAATCATTTAAACTTCAAAATTTGACAAAAATGAACAAATTATTTTCTAGTTAATAATGTATAGAATGTTCAACTTTTATACCTAAGAATTGAAAATTTAAAACAATAGGTTCCACGTAAGAAGGTTATTCTGTTACCAAAAAATCTAAAAAGTATATAAACACAATTTTTTTTTATTGTTATTTTAAGTTCAAATTTTTTACGAAATTACATATTAAAATCACAAATAACAATTCTAGTTATTTTTTTAATTAAAAAATAGTGTTCGTAGTTGCTTGAAACTTTTAGTGTAGGTATATTTATTAAATTTTATACACATTTTTCAATTGAATTTTTTCGAAAAAATGAATTTAATCTACTGTAGTACTAATGGCTTATAGTAAAATAAATTACCTTAATGACAATAATAACATAAAATATACCTACTTAGTAATATTATAGGCTGATGATCCGTATTCTCACAGAATTGTTTTTTCGTATACATTCATTATATATCATTGAATTCAAATTGAACACATACTGTTAATAAAAAAAACTAACATATACATATTAGTACATTACCAATGACTATAGTCTATAATGACTCCCTAGACAATTCATTTACAGCAAAGCGTTATCTACTTACCAGCTTTCTCAATTTCATATGTCGAATATGAATATGCATAATGCGTACATTTCTTTGAGTTGTTATTCCGTATTATTAAATTTAGTTAAGTTAAATTTTACACACTAACAGCTAATGATTTTTAAAAAGTGTAACCGAAGCTGAATTTCAATGTATACAAATCACATTTTTACAAGTAGTTACTACATGATCAGGTTAATTATTAGTATGTATTGAGGTTTATAAGTACCTCCTTGAAACTACGGATTTAGTCATTTAGATGAGTATAATATGAGAATGTGGACCAACATTTTGCGGGATTCCCACTTCCTATAACATGGAAAGTAAAAGTATATTAAAGTATACATGTATACCACTCCACTCTTCTCATCAAAACTTTAAGTACGAACTGATTAAAAACTACAAGTTCAACATTTTAATTTTTATAGATCGAAGTTCTCGGAAATTTATTTACTTTCCGATTCATTCCCATTTTATAATCATTAGGTGGATGTGTCAATTAAAATTTTGAGTAGGTATTTATCAACTTGTAAAGTAGTAAGTTTTAAGCTGTTGATTATATATTTAGAAGGAAATATTTCGAAATGAGAAAACTGACGCTATTTTTTTAAATTCCAAAGTCCCCTTCAGCTAGTATATTTCTAGATTCTAGCTCGAATTAATAGTTATTTCATTCATATGTTTTAAAGTACATAAATTATAAACTTTATTAATTATATTTTTGTAAAACAATAATTATATTAATACTAAAAAATAAACGAATAATAAAAACTATGGCACTCGGTCAATTATTTGTATTTTACATAAATACTCTAGAGTCTAACCCCAGATATTAAAATTGAGTAGGAACTAGGATGGATGTAATAGTTATAAATACTTATTCTGAAACGTAATAAATACATTTTTTTATATATATTTACAATCTATACGTGACAAAGGTGTAATGAGTAAGTGTGTTGACATAATAACATTAATAGGAAGGCTCCCAGAAGTGCCACCTGACCAGAAATTTAAATTTGGTTTTTTTTTTTTTAGTTTTTAGTTAGTTAATAGTATTTTTTTAAGCATTGAGCAAGTATCTTGGCTATTTTCTTTTTAACCTTCTAGGAATAAGTGTGGTAGTGGTTAGATTTTTAATTAGTGGATTTGAATGAGCGCGAAGTTTGGAGTGGAATTCTATGTAATGGGATTTAGCGTTATCTGAGACCATTGACATTCCAAGATTAAATTGATAAATTATGATTTACGTTTGAATTAGTTGTCATTTTTGGTTATAATTTTATTTATTAGAGTTGTGAGGAGATTTATTAATGGTGTAATGAATGATTGAAAATGTTCGAGAAAATAAGAGAAAAGAGTGGCTGGAGGAGGCAGTGGATTCGTTTGTTTGAGAGTTAAAGTTGGGTGGTTTTAATGGACCTGAGAATAAGTGAATAAATAAATTATGTACCTACGAATTTGTACGATTATACTTATCAACTTTCTTTTAAAATGTTATTAACATAGGACGCTGTACAAGGTATGGGATACTTAATAATTTAAATTAAGGATGTGTATAACTGTACAAATACTAGTAAAAATGTAAAATACTTAAATAAGTAACCAGAGAAGTCTCTCTGCTGTATAGTAGGTTTTGAGTGTATATTAACACATTGAATAGGTAAGTCACAAAAAACTATTCTTAGCGGAGATTGTGTGTCACTTCTATTTCTGAAAATATTTTATTATTTATTTATATAACTGTAATTTATTTTTCTATTTGTAGTACGACTTGTTGAACTAATTTTTTTGCAAAAAAAAAAATTATATTATACTACCTATATTATAATATAATATTATACTCCTATATTACTAGTTCACGTAGGTAACTTATAATTTATATACCTAAGGAAATACCGATTATTGTAGAACCGTGTAAGTGTAACTTGGTCCGTGTTATAAATAGTTTAATATTAGTAACACATATTTTTTTTAATTTTGCTATCCATATTTATATGAGCTATTTAAATTGTATCATTATTTTTAAACATAAATGTACACTTAATTATTTTGTATTTTTGTTAATGGTTTTAAACCAGTTTAGTATATACTATATTGTATAGGATTGATATAATTTTCACTTCACTAAGAACACATTTTTTTACCGCATGTTTTTGTTTGCATATTTTGTGATTTTTGTAGTTTTAAGAGCAAATTTCTTAATTTTTCATATTTTATTACATATTTAATTTCTTTTTTATTATTATCAGAACAAAAACACTTTGTTGAACTGCGTGTAAAAAACGGCTAAGCAAAAAATAAAACAGATCCTTAAGCACTATAAAGATGTGATATCATAAATAAATGCTAAGTTATTTAATTAAAGTACACCTATTTTGTTTAAATAATTAATTTACTTGGCGAAAAATTGTATACTTTATATGAAGCGGTACACAAAATAAAGTGAAAAAAATCAAAAAAAGGCATTAGAAGTTCATTATAATTTAAAATATTTTAATTAACATTTCTACTCATTAACTTAAATTTCCCTGACATTGTGTTATCGGAACTTATTGCTAATATAATTGCATAGATAAGTTTCTTATATAATTTGAAAATTAGGCAATTAAAAAAAAAATACATTATAACGTATATTTAGACGAATTTTCACTAGGGTATGTTGCATTGTTTTTTAAATCCTTAGTAAATATTTTCCGTTTTTATTAATAAATATTTAGTAAAAAATTATAAAATATAAAATAATTCTTGTAAAATATTTGTTCCCTTCTAAGTACATTAAGTTCTGTGCATTAAATTAATAAATAATATCGTTTGATGATAAATCGTAGTATTACCTGATTGCTTGAAATTAAATGTCATAAAAAATTGAACTACTAAGTTCTGGCCCATGTGGCTATACACATACTATTATTTTCCAATCTCAGTAAATTAAAATTCTTGTGTATTTTTGTATTATATTTTTGAGCTGCTTGACTTAATCATTTTATTATAGATAAATTGAAAACAACTCAACAATTTCAATTGTCTACAAAATAGCATAGGTACAAAATAAATATAATAACACATATTATGCATGGTGATCGTATGCATTGTATTTAATATTACTTCCAAATAATAATTGGATATTACCATTATTAAGATTTTATATTAGAACGAATATTTTTTTATTATTGTCTTAAAATATATTTGTATGGTTTTTAATGAAAAACATTTTTAAACCATTTATAAAATTGTCTGCGCATATTAATCTTGTACAAGTGTTAAATATATTTAAAACATACTTGGCACAAGACGAAACTCCAATATTAACTTTTAAAAGCTGTAAAACTGTTTTCAAAATAATCTACTTGGAAGTATTTATAAAAACATGTAGATATCGAAATAAAAAATACATATTGCGAATAAAAATAAACTTATAATTCTGTCTATGACAAACTTAGTAATAAAAATATCATAGAGAACGTCTTCTTATTTTGTAAATGCTGTGTTCCTGCATGGATGTAAAAAAACTATTATTATTAAGCAATTCGAAAAATTATATATGTTGTCAATCGCATTCCGTTTTTAGCCAAGTTGAAGTTAACTTGATATTAAACTTTTAATAATATTTAAAGTCTGTTATCAGAATTTGAGTAATTGCCCGCGCAGTTTTTTAAAACTGTTCACAAAATCACAACAATGTTTCCCGACAAACGAAAACTATTACTTGAGTGCAACATATTAAAATAGTTTTTCATTTTAGAGTTCTTTGTTTGACTGTTACAACTTACAATGGGCAGTACTCAGTACTTAGCCGGGCCTTATTTAGGGGAGGAAACAGGATATTGTTGCCCAGGGCGGTTGATTACGAGGGGGCTGAAATATCGAGTTTTTTAACTATTAACATTTTTATTCGATATAATAAGGCTTTTTTGTTGCCCCAGGATGACAAAATCTTAAATACCGGTCTAATTCTCGGTGTGTATTTAATAATACTTTGGCATCTATAGAAAGATCAACTAATGTTTACTGTACTTTTTCTTAATTGGTATTTGTTATGACTTATGAACAACGGCATGTCAATACAATTTTCAAAATTAAAAACCAATAGGTGTACATATTACAAATCAATATTCAGAGTTCAGACTACAACTTCAAAGGACGATTTTATGACTGAGCTGTATGCAAATTATGAGTTAAGACGATTACCCTGGCAGAGTGCATAAAATAAAATTTATAGTGAACCCTCTCCTCCCGGGCCTCCTTCAAAACCTGCAACATTTTCCATTATAAGCACATTGAAACTTAGAACATATACTATATGGTGATGAACAACGATGGTAGGTACCTATATGATCTAAGCATTGTAACTGTAGTTTATAAATTATAGGCTATAACCATTTATATATCGACCCCACTAGTTATTGATTCTGTTGATAGTATCAAAATTAACTATAAGAGTGGTGGGTCTAGCGTAGATGGTTCATGTATCAACATTCAACATAAATATCATGCGTGAATCATTGACTTATAATATTTGTCTAAACAAATTGGCCGAAGTGCACTACCTACCTATTCAACATTTCAAACACCTCACGATTTTCAATTTTTTTTTCAAACTTTGTTTTTTTTTATGTTTAAAAAACAATTTAAAATCGTTCTTATAGTTATATCTAGTCATCAGGATACTTCTTATGTTTTAAATTCGGTGTACCTATTACCTAATATTGACGTGTTGTACTACAACCGTGGGCTGTGATATCTACCTAACAGAATATTTTCACAATGCGTTGTGCAATTTATAGTAGTATTTAAATAGACTGATTATGTTCGATTGTAGTGTAGCGGCTCGTTGGTCTAGGGGTATGATTTTCGCTTAGGGTGCGAGAGGTCCCGGGTTCAAATCCCGGACGAGCCCGCAGAATTTTTGCAACTTTTTCAATCATTCTAAAACACGTGAATTACATAACGTGTAACTTTATTTACCAATTATACCTATGCGACTGTTTTTGTAATGAATAATGAATTCCTAGTAAAGCGAGAAACCAGATTACTTTTTAGAGGGACGAGGAAAAACATGAGTTATTTTGCATATTAACAAGGAATAGAACAGATTATTATTATATTTCCTATATAAAATAAGAACCGAATTTCCTATGCTACACACTTGTAAGATGGAGAGAACAAATTTCCGAGTCGCCTCCTCTTAAGATGATTTTCATATAGCTATCAGCGTTTTATAATATCAAGATCTGATATCTAATCTTCAAAATATTTTGGAATTTCTACTCTTATTTCTGTGCTAATTACATTTTTTTCTCGGTTAAATATATTGAAAATGTCTTGTACACTATTTGTAAGTTGTTTAAATATGTAAAGTGGAGGTCTCAATTTTTTGTATAAATGTTTGAAGTTCAAACTTTAACAATATTAGGTATTTAAAAAAAAAGTAACAATTTTGGTTATTTTTTTTTTACTGATATAATGGTCTAAAATTATAAAACAAGTGTAGATTATCTACCGTGTATAAAACCTTAAAAAAAATAAAGACAGGAATAAAATTGTTATCAATGTAATTAATATTGAAAATCTAATTAACTTACGTCACTTTTGCCAATGTCATCTGCAGTGTGGGTCCCAGATTATTGATCTGTATTCTAAAATAAAACAAATTAATGGACAAACAATACGTGCCTTAAAATTTAATTGTAATTCAAATTAATATTAACCATAAACACTTGAAACATTTTCACCATTACTGATTTTATTAGTCTTTATACAGACGTTTTGTAATAATGTGAGGTTGTTAGTGAAATACTGAAATTGTCAACTGAACAAAGTTTTTCTCGCTGTACTTGAAATTTATAATTCTCTTCACTGGGTATATTTCCATTCTATCTCAATTTTATATTCAAAAATCATTTTCAAACAAAAATATAGAAAGAAAAAAAATGTATAGGTTATCGATTTTACTATTTATTATATAGATTTAGATATATAAGTAATATATTATTATATATTGTATTCGATAATTTATTAAGATTGACTATGGAGGATAGAATAAGAAATTGATTTATTAGGGGTGGTATAAGAATGGCACTAGTTGTAGACAAATTAAGGTGGAATAGGTGAGATGGAGAGATTACTCTGTGGAAATTTAAATTAGAAATTTAAATTAGAACAAATGAGTGTGAGATGAAGACTAAACTAGAAATTAATTGACAGAATAGAGAATAATATAAAAATAGCTGATTTTAATTAAGTAAAGGTAAGAGACAGAGCCCTATGAAAGTGTAGAACAAGACCCGCTGACCCCATATAGTTTAGAGTTGGAACCGGATTGGTGACAAAATATAGATTGTTTTAATCAAGTGTAAATAAAATATTTTGATGCCTAGTTAAAAAGTACCATGTGTACCAATTCATAAGAATTATATATTTGTCTTATTCTAGAGAGACCCAGCAGTTGAAGGAATAGAGTGTGAAGTGGAAGTTGATATAGACGATCTTTTAGATATGGATGACGATTGCCAGCGTACACAATTTCTTCAAGTAATAAATTATTATTTTATTTAATACATCCAGTAAAAAAATGAATACACAATTTTATTTACTGTAAATGAACATTATTTATTTTTCAGAAACTCTTGTCATCGGCCAAATCTAAGGAAAATATCAAAGTATGTAAAATTAAATTAGTATACAGCCATACATCATATAAAACTACATTAATGATACTTGTAGAATAATTTTTTTAGTTTTTTATGTTGCAATTATGCAATTGAAAAAAAATAAAGTGAAAAACTTAACAACTCTTAGTTCTTACATGTATCAGTATTGAGTATTACATATTTATATTTTACACTACATTTAGAATATTTAATGTTTTTGTTTAATTTTTACTTTTAATTTTTAATCACTTTGATTTTGCATAATATTTTATAAATTAAAAATGATTAAAAATATTATAATAAATTGTAATTGAATTGTTTGTTAAAGGAATTCATTGAGAGATTACTTGAAAAGATTAAAACATTATAAATAATAACAGGCGGAATACAACTACAAATATTCATCTGCCGTGCTAGCTCGTAACTGCCAAGCAAGAAATGTCAATTCTTGCCAATTAAATAGCATTACATGCATTTTGGAGAAAATATTTTTACTAGAAAATTATAATAAAAAGTACCGTCCAGATTTAAAATAAGTAGGTTTGAATATTGCACCATAATGAGAAGTGGCATAAAGTAATATCTTTACTATGTGTATGTACTTTATTCAAGCCGAACTGTTTGTTTAGTATTTTTATTCAATCAGTTAAAAAAAATTTGTTGTATTATTTTTCATAATATTTCGACATTACTATTGATGTACATACATGGTTGTATGTGGTAGGGGCTTTTTAGTTTAAGTTCTGGACATTTTCATCTGTTACGGTAAAATGTTAATAATCCACTTACATAAATATTATTCAGCTACAATTCAGTGAATATGTATAATTAGTAATAACAAGTTTGGTTTATATAAAATTATATTGTATATACAAATATACTAATGGTTCAGTACCTACTTGTTTTTCAAGTATATGTTTTTAACTTAAATTTATGATATGCATTCACATTCTCAGTTCTTAAGACTGATCTTTTTATTGCAAACAAAAATGTAATATTTATCTATTAATTTATAGTATTCTATCATTTTAAAATGCACATTTTTACTTAATAGTGTAGAAACAGTAAAAGAAAATAAATAAACTATTTTAGTTGAAAAATATATTTACAATATTTCAATTCAAAAATATTTTATGTTCTTATGGATATTTGTTGTTTAATTTTTTTTGCATAGTATATTTTTTTTAACTATATGAAAAAAACAACTTTGGAAAAGCACAAATTATAAAGTTCATGCATAAATTATGAACTCGTAATTTCTTATATAATATTATTATAAACTAAATTAAATTTTAACTGTATATCGATTGCCTATTATTATTTTTTTAATGTTAGAAAGTGATATTTTTGTTCTCGTTCAAATACTATAAACATAATATGTATGTCCATTTACGCTAAAAGTACTTCTTGGCTGCAATCAATTTTTATCCAATTCAGCAGACAATTACCCTTTCAATGGACACCTATTATCGTTATGTCTGGTAATAGCCTAACCTTCTTGAAACAAGCAGCCAAGAATTCCTCTCTACGTAAATGGGGTATAGTTTGTAAATTATTTTTAAAAAAAAATATTATAATTATAAAAAGTATGTATTTTTACTATTTTAGCTATTATAGAAATACATTAATAAATAATTAGCAAAAAAAATTTTTTATTTTTTTTTCAAGAAAAAACATAGCATTGTTAAAGTTGTAAATCATTTAAAATAAGATATTTATACTACTCTACCCTGCCACCACAACAAAGGAGTGTTCATAACACTTATTGAATACTTCTGCTACTCAAAATATTTCATACATAACTAGGGTGTTGGTGACTTATTGCATTAAAGTTTTTAGATATATGCATTCACGAAATTTTAACTTAACAATTTTTATTTTTGTTGTTAATGTTGGGTAATCAAATATCTCCTATTTTTCACCTTAATTTCACAAATCCTACAAAATAAAATAAAAACACTAAATTATAACTTGTACTGTTGTACTACATCTATTATATTGGTCAACTCTTTACAATAAATAAACATAATGTAAATTATCACTATCTATTTACTTCAAATAAAACTTAAACCTAAAAATGCATAAATATGCTGAAAACAACATAATTTGCCAACATTTGTCAAATATATAGGTATTTAACACAGGACTCTAAAATAATTTATTTAGGTTCTGGGTGATTGATGTATTTAAGGGTTTCAAACTAGAGAATAAAAAATGCATTTAAACCTTTTGAGTGTCAATAACTATTAATGTTGGTTAATACAATTAAAGTGTCCAGAAAAAAAAAAATTCACTTGTTGTTTTTTTTTTAAATTTTATATTTATTGTTCATTTGCTGACAATACATGTCCAGCCATACATATCAAGTATCAATACATCAATATTTTATATTGCTATTAGCTATATTTGAATTTATTCTATACTAGTAATGTAATAATTTATAATTGAAATCCAGCAATTTGATTTAATCAAAATAGAATGATAAAATTAGATTTTATTTTTGAGTTATCTTAAATTAATAGTATTTTATTATAAATTAATGTAGAACCTGTCCTAATAATGTTATTACTAAACAAACTAACTCCAAATTCGAACTAAACCCATAATATACATTAAAAAATTGATAAATCAATTACAAAATTGTAAAATAAAAAATTATTCAATTTTTGGGTTAATTGAAATGTTTTGAAAAAAAAATCGTTTAGGCATTTAATATTTCAGGATTGAAATGGATTCAGTCTAATTCGGATGCAAGGCCCTGGCCTTAGCATAACAAAATGGCTAAGTTTCAAGTTTTTTTGAAAAAAATTTTCATCAAACCTTGAGTATACTTTAGCCACAATTAAAAAATATTCAAACGAAGGTAAGTCCCAATCCCATATATTATAACACATTTTTTAAAATTATTATTTACATAATTTTTGTCTTTGAATTATTTATAGCCATTGTTTTGTTTGGATTGGTCCTATCAGTAGTTTATACAAAATATGTATTAATATTTATATTTTACTATAAATAGACAAATCTATTTTGATGAACTCTTGATTCATGAATAATAAGTCATTTTAAGATCATGATAAAAATTTAATATTTATTTTGATTAGTAAACGTACACAATAAAAAATAATTTCATAAAAATAAAAACAATAAATAAAAAATATATTAATATTACAATTTGACCAATACATAATACATATATTGGTTTGGAAAAATATTATTGTTTTTATGGAATGTGATTAAAAATAACAAAATAATTATTAAACTTACAAACAATAGCAATGTTAGAGTTGGAATTATAAAAGTATATTAATAAATGTATAAATTGTTCAATGTATATAAATGAATGTTAATGTTTAAATACTGGTGAAATAGTAAAATATATTGGAATTTTTCCAATTATTTAGTAATATGATATATTAACCTGACATAACCATGTTAATAAATTCTTCATAAGGAACATTTCCTTGAGAATCTTCTTGTCCGGCCAATAACTGTTCAACTTCATCGTCTGTCAATTTTTCACCTGGTTCACAACAAAGTACTTATAAAATAAAATTTCACCATTGAACATACATTTTACAGATAACCCCTACAAAAATGTACACATTATTTAGAAGTAAAAACAGAGTTGTCAACTTATACTATATAGGTTTATTCCTAGTCTAAGGTGTAACAATAGAAAGTATATTAGACTATAGAAGTAGTATTCATGTGTATTTATAGGTATGGTGTCTTAAATATTATAATAACAAATATTACTAGGCCCTTTGCCCAAACTACAAACATATTGGGGAGGCTCTAATAGTTCAGGACAACTCAGTTTATAGCTTCATTTATAAACATAGGAAACAAAACATAAGTTACCAGTTTACCATATTGCTGATTTTGTTTTGTTAATGAGCAAAAACAATTTTTAAAGACATTTTGCTTTTAATGAATTTCTATACATTATATTTATGGTAATAATACTAAAAATAAAATACCTAGACTCGTAAGAAGATGCCGAAGTTCTGCAGATGATATATATCCATTACCGTCTTTATCAAAATGGCGTAATCCTTCATTGAAATCTTCTGCAGTATTAGATGATCGATTTTTTGAAATTGCTTGATAAATAGGTAGAAATACTTCAAATGTAATTCTTTCATCTGTAAGAAAATAAAACATTTATATTGCTTCACCCTTCAGATGTACAACATAACCTAATATATATAACTGAATTATACTCTTTCCAATGAGAGAATGCGCTAATTCAGTACATCCCCACACAACACCCATAAGTAAATGTTAGGTAACTTTTTTAATTTTAAAACCTCTGATCAGTCAATTCTCTTCTAATATACACATTCCCAAGCTGAATCTGTAAGAAGTTTGTCCCAGCCTGTTAATTATAGATTCCTGATTTTAAAGCGCAAAAACAATTTTTGATTTCCGATTCACAATCCACATTGTTTCGTAATCAATTAAAAAATACACTGATTTATTTTACCCTCAAGAATCAACAGAACCAGCCATTGAAGTATCCAGAAGTTTATTATGTGGCCTCCCTAATCAAAACATACTTACATACCTAATGAAAAGTACCAAATAAAAAATGTATAAAAACCCAGATCGGTATATTTAAAACTTTTTTATGATAATTTCATATCCTTCAGTTTATAAAGGTGAGAAAAACATATTTTAATTTTTAAAGCTATACAACATATAAATAAATTTTACCTGCTTTATGTTGTTGAGTAAATTTATTGACATCAGATTCCGTTGGATTTTGACCTAATGCTCGTAGAGCATTGCCTATTTGTGATATATGTATTTTGTTATCGCCTCGAATATCAAATAATTGAAATGCTTCCTGCATTTCTGTAAACAAAAAAAATCATATTAGTAAAAAAAGTGTAAAATAAAATGATTTATAACTATTACCATCCATTGAAGTTATCACTTTTACAGTATCATAATTATAAGAATACATTTTAGGTACTATTTTAGAAAAAGTTATATTGCTACAAAGTTACTCTCGACAATATACTAGAGTATTCTACTATGATGCCTGTTGTACTAAATAAAGACACTCACTCTTTTTTAACCTTGTCACACAAATTTCTATTAGCTATGAGGACGGGTTTCACATTAGAACCAAATAAGGTAATGAGATTGTAGTCAATACCTTAGCTGTACTACATTCATAATTCAATAATATACAGAGTTTACTTACCAGACAGATGTTCATCCGAATAAGACGCCTGTGGGTAAATAATTATAAATTAAATTAATACATTGAATAGACTAAAGAATAATTTGTATATTGGTGTACAAATATAGTATATTATACGCATGTTATTAGTTTTGAAGGTACAGTGATATTACAATTCTTACCGTTTTACTCATGATGGTATTTGTTTGATTTTATTATATTTTGAATGTATATTATTAATGTTAATAATCGTGTCAATAGTAATGTACAAGAAAATAATTTTCTGATTCGTAAATTCTAAGATTTTGTCATTACTTTTGATTAGTCAATCATGATTCATTACTTAAATTTCTAAGGAATTTTTATAAAAATAACAGTGACATTAGTCAGTTATTACAATGATAACACGTATACAACAAACAGTATATCCATATGTGTAATAAATATTTACTTTTTATTGAGCGTATTATATGACATGTCATTTTCTAATTTTAATAATTTATTTTTATTTTGAATCGAAGTGATTCTTTGTGAAAATACAGATTGTGTTGATTATAATACATTTTGCCATTTAGATTCATACTTCACATAAATTGAATAAAATGCTTGATTATAATGTAAACCAAATACCATTGGTTCCCAATGACTCAATGTCTCAATGTGACTCTATGTGCCGCGAAAGCTCAAGCCTCAAAGTAATCGGAATAAAAATCCCCAGACTTCAATATTACATTTCTGCGATATTACCATAGAGTAATAAGTAACAATTACTCCATGGATATTACTCACAAGTCACAACCACATGAAATATGAATGAATGATTGAACAATTAATATTAATTGTTTTAATAATATTTTGTTTTATACTACGATATTATCTGTGTATGATTCTGTAAAAATTATAAATCCTAGAAATAAAATATTACTATAGAAAATATAAGTAGTCTTATATATTATCTATGATTCATAAATGCACTACGTTTATGTAATTTTGAAATTTTTTCCAAATATCTACCAACTTTTAAAAATACTATGCACCTTGCCCCGGTCTCCACGTCAACTCCGGAAAGGACTTTCTTATGTTTGAAAAAACTATCTGAGAAACACTATGACTGAAGTAAATAGTACATTTATTATAACCATAATTAATTATTATTCTTGTATTATGATTATATTTTCTAGGACCGTTTGAATGAACTAACATATTTGGCCATTCATAAACAGGTGCCTATTGAT